TGAAAATGTAATTATTATTATGATTGTGGGCCACAGAGGCGAGTGATATTAATCAATACATTTATTACAACAAAGTAAAATTCAGATAAAACGAGAAGAATCCAATCAAAAAATATCTAGATGTAAGAAAATCATTAGAAAAAGGAGTATGTGTTAACCAATACATTTAATTAGTCATTAAATGTATTTTTATTGTGTGACTCTAAAAACATGTGAGAATAAGAAAAAATTGAGGAAAACACATCTTTTAAAACCAAGTCAGATGATTAAGCTAGAAAATAATGTATTAAGTCTAGTTATATTGTATTCAAGTTCTAGCTCTTGTTAGTCATTTATTTTAAATTAAGGCATCAAAGGAGTTCAAAAATTAACATGCACACAAAAAATTGTGGGGGCCCAGCCCAGTAACGCCCACTCTACATTACTCAAGATATGTGTAAGCATGCATTGAATGTCTCACTTAATGTGTAGGTGTGAGGTGACAAGGCATTCTTAATCATGAAGAATGAGCTGCATAAAAGCAAAAATTTGACCAAATAGCTTTAAAATATCTAAACAATTTGGAAAAGGGAATTTTTTTAGTATGCGCAATGTGTTTGTTTAATTTGTTACCACACCCAAGGTAAGAAATATTTTTGCATTATGGCCCAACAAACATTTCAAGAGACATTATTTACCTTTATCATATATTACAAATTTATATATTTTATATTCCTTCCTTTTTTTGTTTTATGCTGCTTACATCCTACTGTATTGTTACTTCACAACATACCTATGGATCTTAACCTACGGTTTGAAAAACATTACTGTACAGCATGCATAGACCATTAAATTTCAGCCCTGAATCAAGTTCTAAATTAGGAGTATCAAAGATTTCAGTTAGAAAGGAAAGTTCTCAGAACTAAAAAAAGAACAAACAGGCTAAGCAACAGGGAGGATTTTAGGGGATAGGAGATGGATTCACCCAATGCAAAATGCCTTATTCTCTCTTCATTCCATTTGTGAGCCTAAACAAAAACTATAAATATAGATAATAAATTAGCATTCTCACAGTGATCTTCTGTAATAGAAAGGGTTTTTTTAAATTAACCATAATATTAGGCCGGCACGGTGGCTCACACCTGTAATCCTAGCACACCGGGAGGCTGAGGCAGGAGGATTGCTTGAGCTCAAGAGTTCGAGACCAGCCTGAGTTACAATGACGCCACTACACTCTACCCAGGGTGACAGAGCGAGATTCTGTTTCAAAAAAAAAAAAAAAAAAATTATCCATGATATTAAAACATTGCAATCTTTAAAGCATTTGTAAGCTCTTTGTAGAATTTCCATCAATTACATTCTATGATGTTCAAGTTACATTGCTACTTCCTACTGAATATTTTTTCATTTTATTACTCTCTTTTATTTTGGTACAAGTATAATGAATTTTAATTAATTTCAAGTGAACATGCTTTTGTTTCTAGGCTTTGGCCTGGAACCAAACCAAATGGTGGCCAGGACCACCATTATAATATTGCTTCTATTATTAATAGAAAATGGAATTGAAATTTCAAGCTAAATTAGAAACTAAATTGAAGACACAGCACATTTGTAAGCTCAGCATTTCATCTAGGATCTGGGACAAAACTGGTGGGCTTTGCACTGTGACCAAAAACCTAGAGGGACTGGGATAGATGTGGAAATAGGTGTTCACCTGTTGAGTGGCTGAGTTAGGTGGAAAGAGTTTTACAAAACTATGTAGAACAACAGAAGGCTAAGGAGATGGATGAAGTCAGAAAAGTTAAAACTGAGCACACATATGGAAAGCAATGAAATTTCTGTGACAAAGATTACAGTTTTATTGTGGAGGGGAAGAAGAGGGGAAGAAAGGGGACATAGAGTGGAGAAAGAAGAAAAGAAGCAAACATTCGGTGAGAATCTGGCAATTAGATACATCTGATACAATCCTTACAACAACCAGATACTATCTTCATATTATAAATGAGGATCAACTGAGGCTAAGGAATGTACCCTAAATTATGAATCCCTTTAGGATTTACAGTCAAAATCTAAATGCAACATCCGTGTTCTTTTCACTCTACATCATTGTTCCCTACCTGGAAAGGGAGGGTGGAAAGCAGGTCCAGCAAGGATGCACATTTCACAATGAACAATGTGAGTGGGGCATATAGTGACAAAGGTTGAAATCTAAATCAGCCTGCCTAGTCCATAATATTGAGTCCACTTTATAAGAATCTGAGCAGCAATATACAGATTCCTTTCATAGAACTAAAGCTACAGAATGAATGGATATAAAATCCATAGATGCCTAAAAACAATAAGCTCTCCATAAATGGTCACTGTCACTATCATCACTATTAACTTGTCACACTGCCAGTATGTGCTCATTTTTTCTGAACACTACTGTGGTTCACATATTTCTTGCATGTGTATTTTATTTGTTTAAGCCTTCTAAAACAATTCAGAAAATTTGCTCCCCTTCCTTCCAGTAATTCAACTTTACCTTCGTAGAAAACATCCCCATCAAAAATTAAATTCACTTTGAGAGCTGAATCTCAAATTATAGGGAAATTGAAAAATAGGTCAAG